TTCATTGCATTTGTACATTTTTAAAACATTGGGTACAGAAACCAAAAGAGTATGTATAATGTTAGTCGGTTAACTTCATTTATCAAATAGATACAGTCAAACCAAAATTTATTCAGACACCTTCAACATTTCTCACATTATCACAGTTTATTCGCTATAGTTTAGGAAATGGTAATAAAATATGATAAGAACCCAAGAGTTAAACTGTGTCAGAACAAATTCAGCTTGATAATGTCAGATAACTTTGATAGAAAGGTATGTAATGGATTACAATAAACCAAAAATTATTCATTCAGCTGTCAATATGTACACACCTATCAATACTTTGTCGGCTGACCCTTACACTCTAAAAATGCTGGGTTGTTTCAACCCAATTTTGGGTCAAATATGGACTAACCCAACGGTTAGTCCATATTTGACCCAAAATTGGGTTGAAACAACCCAGCATTTTTTAGAGTGTTAGGGTCACCTGACTATTTATACTTAATGACAGCATATAGTCTCCTGGGCATGCTGTCAACCAGGTTCATGCAAAAAATTCGGACTCGGTCTGAATAATTTTTGGTCCCAAATTTGTATAAATTTTACTGCTAGTCTACTGTATGAAGAATTTTTGGGTATGATTTGTCACAGTTTACTTTATTTTGCTTCTCTCTATGGTAGTCTACATCATCTTTAATTTAATAGCATTAGAGCTGCTCCATTGCAGCGGCTTAGTACTGTAATCACACGATTTGCTGTAAAAATGCAGGGAACCACTCGCTATAAATCTCCTAACTGTGATATTTTCATAAATAGAAGTTGTGTTTTTTTCATCTGAAACAGTGATTTATTTTCCAAAGCCACTCATATAATGCAGAAACACTCATGAAGCAAGCAAAACACGTGCAACGCGCACACATATTTGTACTGGTGCAGAATGAGAGGGACAAGTAAAGTACAGCCTAGCGCATTTCACACAGGGTGTTAGTTTCACTTTCGCCAGAAAGTCGTGTATGCTTAAAGGTGAAAATAAATGACGTTTATAGTTGTAACGAATCAGCTCATGATTAATATGAATAATTAACCATAACTATTCCAGTATCTGGAACTTGAATCGAAAATACTAAAGGTTCTCAGGGCAC